AGTTTTCTCGGTGTGTCCAACGGAGTTCATGCAAAATTAAAACCGAGCAAGAATATAAATTAAAAAATAATATTTCGGAGTGTTACTGCAGCTTCGTTGAATTACTCTGACTTAGTTTTCTAAAGAGTCCAACGAAACAAGGATCTTTTGAAGACTTTAGATGGGTTTAATTTTTTCTTCATTCAATGCTTATGCTTCAAGAACAAAGAACTTGCGGTGTTGCCTGCAGAAATAATTTATTAATGGGCGAACGACCGTATTTATATTTTCTAGTGCATGTCAAAATCGTATCAGTCACTACAGTAGAAAATAGTCTGTTACGGAATCTGTTTTTCACTGGCATGGGATGGATTAAAAGATTTACAGAATCCTGTCCAGTGCTAATTTCTGCAGTTCTGTTCAATACCTTATGTGTAATCCTTTGACGTAGAAAAGAAAAACGAAAACGTTCTGTGTCGTGAATTCTCTGCAGTTCAGAAAAATAGAATCAGCTTTGTCAAGTCCATACTTTAAAAGCTACTTTACTTGGATTTTGTAAGTTTGTGTGTGCGTGCGCATTGTGTCTTTTTTCTAAAGATACCTTAACAGTAAGAGTATCTATTTTATAAAGCCGGGGGATGTTTTATTTTATTATTTTTTAAATCTGCAGGTTGCAATAAAAATAATAGACAAAACAAGGTTAGACCCAAGCAATCTGGAGAAGATTTATAGAGAAGTTCAGATAATGAAGCTTTTGAATCATCCTCACATTATCAAGCTATATCAGGTAAGAGCTCAGCTTTGAAGTGCAGCATGCGGATGAAATACGCTTGTGCTCATCTCTTGCATGTGATTTTGCATTAAGTATTTGCAGAGAGAATGAATATTGAAATATTTTTGGAAAAACACTTAAACTGGGTTTTTAAAAAGTTACTATTCTTTGAAAAAAATTCCGGTACTTTAGACAGCTTTTAGACAAAATGTGCTGTAAAATGTACAATTAAAACCAGGCCGAAGTTTGTTTCAGATCGAGGAACCAATTATCTGAACTTCTGTGATTAACTTAACTTAACTTTCCTAACTCCTCTGCCTCTCCAGTTTAGAAGACTGGAACTTCTTACGTGCTTTTGATGAGAGGAGGACTTAAACTCACATAGAAATCGCAAAAGTTGAGTTTGCTGTAAGTGGAAGGGATTTAAAATCAACAACAATTAAACCAAATCAATCTGAGTAGAAAATCTTAGGTAGAAATCTAAGAATTAGAATTCTAATCTAAGTAGAAAATTAAAAAAAAGAGTAAATGTTGGTATCTTTCAGTATGCCAAAGAATGACCTGTTTGGTTGTTCTGTTTCAGTTTCTCTAGTTTTGAGAGAGAATTTCAAAGATCTTTCTCCCTGAAGAGTTTCATGTGCATTTTGGTTTAGATTTGTTCAGTTTCTGCACTGATGGGTATTTTTAACAGTAAGAACAAATTAATGTGTCATGCAGAAAACAAGATCACATCTGTCTAGTGAGCAAGGACTGCACTGCAAATTCTAAATATTCAATCTGATTAGCATTTGGTGTAAGTTCCTCTTAATCATCTTAAATAGTGCCATGTGGATTTAAGAAGAAGATGAGGTATCACAGTCTGCCTGGACCTGTCTAGAAGGGCGGCGAGAGAGGATGGGAGAGAGGAATAGACAGGTGAAGCAGCAGGTCTGAAAGTCCATGTGCAGTAGTAAACACTATTATCAGCTGCAAGCTTACAGTTGGGTTTGGTAGTTTTAAAAAAGAAAAAGAAAATAAAAAAAATAGGTTTAATTAAGATGTGAGGCTGAAGAGCCAGTAAGGCAGGTGCTTAGGCAAGGCATTATTTTCAAAGACCTTGACACATGTGAAGTGCTTGGTGTTTATGATCTTAACCATCGTAAGAAAAATTACTCTGCGTTGACGTCTGACGTCACCGTCGCCCATAGGGCAGTGTAGGGTATACAGAAACACTCTAGCAGTTCGGCTGATTTCATTTCAGTGGAATGATGTGGGTGAAAATACTATTTTGAAGCTTTTAGAAAAGCAGGTTAAATTCCATCTAGTTGAACCACCTCACTTGATGGAGCAGATGACGTTGGTAGTGGACCATAATTTCTTTTCAGTGAAGTTTTCTTTTCTTTGTTGTTGTAACTGATGCTTTACCTGTTTGGTGGAGACTGAGACGCAGGGATGGAATTAGATGACATACCAATGCAGGGTGTGTGTTCTTGTATTATTTCATCATTGTTTTAGTTTCAGCACGGCGTCTTAATTTCATCCAGCTGGCAACTTTCCCGGAACACTTTCCTTCAGTTTCTTAAACTGGGAACCTCTCTTCCTTTGCTCCCTGTTTGTTTATTTTCATTTTGTGTCTGTGTGTACTTGTAGTGAGGGGAGGACAAGAGTCTTCCAAAAAAGTTACATGTTAGGAGCCTGGAAATTACAGCCTTTGAAGTAGTATTGAGGCTTTTTTTGATTGTAGCCTGTTGTGAGCTTTCAGCTTCTAAACAAAATATCTGCTCCTTGAGAGTTCAATTCCAGGGTAGTGTTGTATTTTAAAACCTAAAATGCAGCATTTGAAAGATGTGCCATAGTAACTGAAGGTGAATTTGGAAATGCTCAGCATTTCTTACTCGTTGTTTTGGTTTTAGTTGGTTGTTGTTTGGGTTTTTTTGCCCCAAAGTTAAAAATAAACAAGTATCAAAGGAAGTTGATACTAGATTGACCAGTGAATGCTGAGCGATATATTGACAGTTGTTGTCGTGCATCAAGCGCTGCCGTTGCACAAATAGCAACCTATTGTCACTTGTGTGGGAGGCTTGCCATGTCCCCGGCCAACACCAGATGAGAACGGGCTATTTGATACTACTTCTTGATTTGTCCAAGTTGCAGATATCCCTCCTGACTTGAGTACCTGCTAGCCTGAAAACAAAAGCGACTTTATGCAAACTTTGTCTTTGCGTGTTCAACATATATCAAACGAATTGCAAAACTGTATATGCGTACTTTAACAAAAAAGGAATTCAGGGTAGCGTATGAAATTATTGAAGTGCTCATCAGTTTTCTTATGGAGATTAGGTGGCGTGGTAATGGTGAGGAGAACAATGGCATGGGAGGCCATTGTATATTGTAAGCACATAAGCATTGATTTGTTATCTTTTTTCATTACCAGTTTGCTTGCAAAGAGCATTGTGGTGCAAAATTAGAGGCCTTTACTGCCAGCTGCTGCAACAAATAAATAATTGAACTGCTATGTTTGAGAATACACTTAGAAAAGTGAGTTGAGCTACAGAGATCTGCATTTTTTTTTAAGCATGCTCTCTCTTGTGTCTTCACAGGTTATGGAGACAAAGGATATGCTTTACATTGTTACTGAGTTTGCAAAGAACGGAGAAATGTTCGGTAAGTTCTCACTGCTGGAGCTAAAAGTTCTTTAGATTTAGAAACCAGGGCTTTGTTTTTGTCATTCCTGAGTAATATTTATTTATATTTGATTAAAAATCCAGGGTTGACGTTGTCAGCTGTCAAACACCTGCAGGATTACGAAAATTTTCCTCCAGATGTTTCTAAATCCCTTCTCTTGTATTTTGTCTTGCAGATCATCTGACCTCCAATGGGCACTTAAGTGAAAGTGAAGCACGGAAGAAGTTCTGGCAGATTCTTTCAGCGGTGGAATATTGTCACAGCCACCACATAGTGCACAGGGATCTCAAAACAGAGAACCTCCTGCTAGATGCTAACATGAATATCAAGTTAGCAGGTAATAAGAAATACACGGTTACTTTATAAACAACATCAGGCAGGTAGTCAAATTCGATCTCCCTAGGATCACTGTATAAATGTATTTATGGTAACTGAAAATTCAACAAAAGTATTTATCTTAAAATAGCCTCTGGGCAAAAGAGAATACCCTAAATGAATAGGCAGAGAACAAAGCAATACATCTGCTGCCTTCTCTTAATTTTCTGCTACTTCTGAAATATTGGCATGTAGTTGAGTGATGTCTTACCCCAGACTTTTACCTTCATTCCAGACTTTGGGTTTGGAAACTTCTACAAGTCAGGAGAGCCCCTCTCCACTTGGTGTGGAAGCCCACCTTATGCAGCTCCAGAAGTTTTTGAAGGCAAAGAATATGAAGGACCTCACCTGGATATATGGGTGAGTTTGACATTCCTCAGAAATTGCATTTCACACTTTGTGAGGGTCTGTGGGCTTTCAAAATCATTGCTTCTACTGGAGTTACTCACATGCTGTGCTGTTTTCTATTGACAGAGCCTTGGAGTGGTGCTGTATGTCCTTGTCTGTGGTTCTCTGCCTTTCGATGGACCCAATTTACCAACTCTGAGGCAAAGAGTGCTGGAGGGGCGGTTCCGCATCCCTTACTTCATGTCCGAAGGTGCTTTGTTCAGATCCTTAATGTTATAAAAGGGGCTACAGACAAAGGAATAGCTGTCCTGTTCCTTCTTGGGGCAATGACAGATGGGACTGATTTTGCAGCTGGCAATCTCTTTGTCTTTACATATCCAGTAATTTCTGAAGGGCAGCGCTTGTAAGAAGTTCAGGGGCTGGTTGCACATTTTTCTTTTCTGGGGTCTGCTTTATGATGCATCTAAAAAGCTATCATTTCTCCTCTTGGGGTATCTCTATGGATTACAAAAAATATTTGACACCCTAGCTGGAGAAATAATCAGTCACAAAACAGAAGAAACAGGATTTTAATGAGACCAGCCTGCAATGGTGAGATGGTTGTAGTTCTCCTAAGGCATTTTAACAATGCAGAAGGGATATGTTTCAGTGTGGCTTTGCTGTCAAGGAGAGCAGAAATAGTGTGCCCTAGCACTGTTTCTGGAACACTCAGTCTGGTGAGAAAAAGGAACTGAAGAGTATTATCACCTCTTTCTGATTTGGATTTGAAAACAAGTGAACTTGCCTCTCTTGTAGCGAAGAGTATCTTTTGAAGTCTGACCTTGATCAGTTACAGCCACCCTTTGATCCCTGGTTATAAACAAATAAGCAGTATAGATGGACCAGGAAACTGTATGTGATGGGGTTCTGTACTAAATTCTGGCCTATTTTAAGTTGATGTAACATCATTAAACCCACATCAACTTAAAGATCTCCTACAAGGTGCAAGGCCACCTGAAACCTGCTGGTATCCAGTACAGCTTTGTTTCCTGTAGTGATGTGTTGCTTTTGTGAAATGCATGTGGACCTCTCTTGTGTTGGTTTGAATATCTGGCAGTCAGATCAGGCATCAGCTGCTCAGAAACCTTTAATCCCTATTTTTGCAGACATCATACACTGTTGCTGGGAAGGTTTCTTAGCAGTGACCTGGGGCTGGGCTGTTATTTCTACCCCTTGCTCATGAGTTTATCTTTGCCATCCAGACTGTGAAACACTAATCCGACGGATGTTGGTTGTGGACCCAACCAAGCGGATAACCATTTCCCAGATAAAGCAGCACAAGTGGATGCAAGCTGACCCATCTCTTCAACAGCAGCAATCTTTGTCCTTCTCCATGCAAAACTACAACTCCAACCTGGGTGACTACAATGAACAAGTCCTTGGGATCATGCAAACACTTGGCATCGACAGGCAGAGAACTGTTGAGGTGAGAAGTGCTTGCCCCTTAGATACACCTTCAGTGACTGCCTGAAAGCCAATGGTGCAATCATATGTATGCCATTCAGCGACTAGCCTTGATCCAGTGCCACAGGGTGGAAATCTTCACTGCCCTTCTGGATTTTTACTTATTTTTTGACTGCACTGTTATGGGGCCTTAGTGATGAATTTTGTCTGCTTATATCCTGAGTTACCTGTAACTCAAGGGTCCTTTCAATGTCTTCTAGTCTCTGCAAAACAGCAGCTACAACCATTTTGCTGCAATTTATTACCTGCTCTTGGAGCGCCTCAAGGAGTACCGAAGCAGCCAGCTATCGAGTCGTCCAGCAACTGGCCGTCAGCAAAGGCCAAGGAGCTCTGAGATCAGCAATGTCGAGGTAAGGAAGGGCCTTACTTGCCTGGGAAGCTCTGTCTGTTGACTCTCTTTTTTTTTTTTTTCCTGCCCCTTGCTATGGGAAAATGCAAGATAGTAATTCTCAGGCTTCTGAAAACCAATTCTGATATTGATGCCCTCTGATAGGGCACAACCTACTGTTCTTCAGCAGAGGGCTGATTGGCTACTGATGGCTTGTTTCCTAAGACATGACTGTGGATTATGGTCCAAAGAGTAGGCTGCCTCTGGAGCAGGTCAATAATGAACCAGAAGAGTAGGCTTATTACAGAAATTTGCCCTCTTAGGCATGGATCAGTTACATTTCATTGGTACATACCCTGTAGGATCCTCAGAAGTACTCAGTGAGACAGTTTCTGTGTTTTTCTGGCATTCTTCTTTGCTTCACTCTCACGCCCTTTAAAGTGTGCTCTGGGTGCCTTTTCAAATTGTATTTCCAGTTAAATGCTTAACTTAGGAGAAGGAGGTTTGTGTTTGTGTTGATGTTAGTTTTGTTAATTTTCATAGAAAGTATTTGGAGAAATCTTGCACAGAAGGTGGCTTTGAAATTCCTTGAGCTCCCAACATCTGAAAAGTCATATGGAGCTGCAGTGTATGTGATGGCTTCTCTGCATCTCTCTCTCTCTCCAGATGCCTCAGGATAGTCTCACTAGTGAAACCCTGCGATCATCTCTTCTTTACCAGCAACCTCAGAGCCTGATTCAGCCATCGTTGCAGGCAGAAACGGACTGTGACATGAACAGTCCTTTACAGGTTGGTGTTTTCAGCTGTGTGTTACTGTGTGTTACTTTTCTTTTTTTAGAAAAAAATGTTCTGCCAATCCAAAACAACAGGGGTTATGACTCTTATTCTCTCCTTCCAATCTTTTGGTATTTGGGCATGGTGTCATAGTGGCCTTTCAAACAGCATGCCTATTGAGGTCATGCCATAGGGCTGTGAAGAGTATTAAAAGGTGGTGCAGAAGTAAGTGAAACACCCTTCAGTGTGTGATCTGACATGTTTTGCAGCCCATGTTCTTTCCTGTGGATCCCAACTTCAACGGGATTTTCCGAAACCGCTCCATCTCCCCCAACAGCCTGCTGGAGACTACCATTAGTGAAGAAGTAAGGCAAGAGAAGGAGCTGGAAGACGAAATTAAGGCTTATGACCACCCCATCCACATCCCTAGCAACACCAGCAGGAGGCACACACTGGCCGAAGTGACCACTCATTTCTATCAGCATGCCCCTCCATGTAAGTAAGTCTGGGAGAGACGAAGGGTGTCCATAGTTAGAGGAAAAAGACAGAGAAGGAGTGACATAGGGGGCTATGTGCTGATTTTGTCTTGACTGGGATAGGAAAGCCCAGGAAAGAGGTCTGTACTCTGCCCTCCCCAGTTCTCTCTTCCCATAAAAAAGCATGGCCCTTAAGGAAGAGGTGTGCTGCTGTATTTCATCTGGATCACTTTAGAGGGGAGCATTCTCACAAGCAGGACATGGCCCTTCTCTGCTTGCTTCTGCTGTTGTACCTGGGGAGGTGAGGGTGCCTGAATTGAAAAAAAAAGGTCATCACAGACTGTATTTGATACACATCCAGACCCTGCGAACTAAACAAACAAGCTAAACTGTTCACAAAACAGTAATCCCGTGTCAGCTGCTGTGCTAAAGAAGCGCTGTAGGCCTGACCCAGCATAGCCCGGTGGTGCTGGCGTTGCTGGCAGAGTGCTGCCAGCTGGATGGGAGCCCAAGCTTAGGTTATTTGTTGATGACCCCTTGGCTGGAGTCAAGCCCTGTGACAACACGAGTTGCTGGACACCTCTTCAGCTCACAGCTACTTATTAGTGCCAGTGTAGGTGGGCAGAAGGCTCTGATGTCATGTTTGTTCCTTCCTATGTTCATCTTGGGAATGCTCTTTCTCTCCTTCCTTCCCCTCTGTAGGTATAGTCATTTCCTCTTCTGCAAGCCCCACAGAGGGAACTAGTTCAGACAGCTGCCTTACTTCATCTTCAAATGACAGCTCAGTGGCCCTGAGCAGCTGTTTGGCAGGTCAAGTAATGACAGGGTGCCCAGCCACAGCTAGGATGACGTCGCCCTTCCTTGCTTCCCAGTCTCACACTCCAGTGTTACAAGCCCAGGGCTGCATGGGAGGTGCTTCTCTCCTGCCTGTCAGCTTCCAAGAAGGAAGGCGAGCATCTGATACCTCATTAACTCAAGGTAATGTCTTCCTTGCTTTATTGCTGGGGAATTGCACGCTGACAACTGCCACTAGAAAAGGGTAGCATGCAGGGATACTTGCTTGCCCGAGTTAGTGTTATACTGAAGGCCAGACACCTGGATATTCTGCCTCTTACATTCATGGTCTCTGAGGGAGGGAGGGTTGCATGTTCTGAGGAAGGTGCCTAGATGAGAGGTTCTCAGACAGTGATTCAGCATGCCCATGAAGATATTTCAGCTGCCGTCAGTGGGATGGGAGGCTCCACCTTCTAAAATACGAAGCGCACAACATCCTGATTCCTGTCAGGTTTCTCCTTTGCTGTGCATGTGTCCATCCACACAAGGGTGCAGCTGTACCAAATCCCGTTCCGTTACTTAAATTTTGCTCTGACCATCAGGCTGAGAGGTGAATGAGAACCGAAGAGTTGCAGTCTCTTCTAGCACAGTTCTCACACAAATGAAGGCAGCTGCCCAGAAAGGTTGATCTGTAAAGCAGGCTCCTAGGCAAATGCTAAGGAGGATTAAAGTGCATTTCTTTTCCTCATGTCCCACAGGCTTGAAGGCTTTTAGGCAGCAGCTGCGGAAGAACGCTCGAGCCAAAGGGTTTCTCGGCTTGAATAAAATCAAAGGCTTTGCTCGGCAGGTGTGTCAGTCCTCTTCATCTCGGGCAGCAAGGAGTGCCATGAGCCCTTTCCAACACACGCAGCCGAACACCTGCATGTACAGCAGCAGCGGAAGCAGCAGAGAGGGAAGAAGCCTCCTGGAGGAGGTGCTACAGCAGCAGAGGTGAGGACCTGGCCGGGAGGAGTTTTGCTGTTTTCATTGGGTTTACTTTGGTTAGGGGCAAGTGAGAAGAAGTAAACACAGCAATAGAGGTTGGGGAGTTTGGTCACTGGGGTTTCCTATCCTCCATCTTTGCTGTGTGGCAGCAGATAAACTGCCTGTCTTCCTTTGTGGCTTCCAGCACTGGCACATGTAACACAGGACGTGCAGTTCCACTTAAAAATCTGAACATCCACATATTTGGAGGTTACTGAATTGAAAAGCAGTTTGGTACTGTGGGGGAAAACATTACTTCTCCCCATTGCAAGTTGTGTTTTTCTTTGTTAGTTTTGGGAATGATTTCTTTCCTCCTCTGCCTCCTCCTGTAATTTTCCCATGGAGAGGAAGTGAGGCCTTGTAATTTGGAAAAGTTACAGCCCACAAAGGAGGCACGGTTCCAGTGGCCTCAAATGTCTTGTGCTTCATTCCCATAGAAGCAAGATAGAAAATTGAGTTTCCGGTTTATCTGCAGACGTTGTCTCTAGAACAACTATTATTAGCAGGCCAAATGGTGACTAGGTATCTTTCTGGCGATAGTCGCCCTCTCCAACAGGCGGAAAAGCCAAGTGAAAACATGTTGACCTGGCATGGTCAGCTTGCTTTAATTGTACTGGCTGGGTAAGGAGAGGTTTGATGGAGAGAAGGAAACAAAAGGGAAATTATGGTTAGGGGTGCGGGCAGGAAAGGAGGAATGCAAGTTAACCTCTCCCATCCTTGGATTTTGTTCAGAATGCTCCAGCTCCAGCATCACCAGCTACTGCAGACAGCTTGTCCCCAGGCTTCTCAGACATCCACAGCAAATGGCGCACCCTCCTCTGATAGCGTAGGTACCTGCAATACATCCAATTCTCTTCTGCTGTCGGAGCTACAAAGGGAGAACTCATTCGAGCTGGCCTTTGCTGGCAACACCCAACTGCTCCAACCTCATTTCTTCGGTGTCAGCGTGTCGCCAGTGTCCTCAGCAGCTCACCTTCTCGACACGCACCTGTACATCAGCAGCAACGTCTCCCCGGCCGCCACCACCTTCTCTCAGCAGCAGAGTTTCTCTGTGCAGTCTCCAAGCTACGACGCAGTCACTCTGCAGCACGGGGATTGCGAGATGGAGGACCTGACTTCCAACCAGCTTGGGAAGTTCGTCCTGGTCAAATGAGAGCCCCGGCTGCTCTTGCTGCGAAGAACTTGCACCACTGTCCGTGGCGTGTGTGGGCCCATGGCTGGCTGGTGTCGTGTGGACAAGTGACTCTCAGAAGCAATAAATTTTGAAGCATGTGAAGAGGCTGTCTGGCTCGGAAAGCTAGCAACTTTATAGAACTGAAACAAGCAATATGTATGTCTTTTTGCTTCTACTATTCTTGCACTGAACAAAAACGAATCGAAAATGAATTTTTTTAAAGGAAAAATAATGGTGGGGAGGATGGGTGGGGCATTTGTGGGGACAGGGAGGGATGTGGTCGGGGAAGAACTCTTCGGTACTGTACTCAAGTCAGACCAATACAGCTCTGCTGTTATGCAAGATTAGCAGCTGTCAGTAGTGGTGACACAGCAGGGAGAGGCTTTTCAAAGAAGGGACCAGAGCCTCCCTTTTTCACAATATTCATTTATGGGTTTGTGAAGAAGATTACCTCTTTTAAAGAAAACAAACAGAAAACCAGTGGCATGCAGCATTATCCATTCATAGAAGACGAAAATGGAAGCATTGCCATTTGTTGTTGGGTTTTTTTTCCTCCTGTTAACACCCGTTTTATTTAAAGGAACCAACATCCCCATTCCACACCTCCCAGATAGGTATACTTTAAATGAAAACTGTGAATTTCTTGCTTGAGACATCAGCTGGAAAAGCTTAAAAAACTTCTTTTCATTATTATGGAAGCAAGTGATCTCTTGAAAATGTATCCCTTGATACCATGAGCCCAACTGCATAATGTCTGGTCTTTTGCAGGGATATTTGTTTGGAGGTGGTGTGTGTTTGTGTGTGTACATATATATGCACGTGCACACATGCCTATATTTTGTCGGTCTGAATAACCTTTAGGAATCTTTTTTTAAAGGCTCAGTTTTTTCATATTCTCGCAGAGGCACTGAGAAGGGGAAGCAGTAGTAGCAGTGGGGTGATGGGAAGGGTTTTCTTTTGAAAAAGCCCTCCTGGAGATTGCCTACAAAGTTGCTCGAGGGGTATTTCTTAGTGCTGCACATTGTTATTTCCGCTGCTAATTACGTTTTTATGCATTTCATTATCAGGGTCCAAACAGAACTGACTCTTGGGGAAATGTGCAATATCGAGGTTATAATTATATACTGACAAAGACAAAAGGAATAGGCTAGAACAGAATTCAACTCTAACGGAGTACAGCTATTTCTGAACAAAACTGTGTATTAAAAGTGAGTAAAACAGCACAATCTTTGGGTGTTTGTTTCTGGTTGGTTTGTTTTTGGCATATTAGCAAAATGAGGTTTTGGATTAGATAGGTGTTTTTTCGTATGGTTTTTAATGCTGTATATGTATATAAATAGGAAGCAGAAAACTATATTAACACTAGTTATTTTTTATATTTTATAATATGCTTAAATTGTGTTTCTGGTAGAAACCCCACTCCCCTCCTAAGGCAGAGCATGACTTCTGTTGGTATCAGCAGAAGTTATGCTTAGGTATAATGGGGAGAACAGACTGTGCTCCTACAGAAACGAGTCGGGTAGGGCATGCAAACTTTGGAAGCAGGTGAGCAAACAGTGAGCCAGCTTGGCTGGAAGCTGCCATCCGAGTGGCGCAAAATAGCTGCGATCTGTCTAAATGCTTAAAGGACCCATCTCCCTAGTGTGACACAGGGTGCCTTCAAGTTACCTTGGCTTCATGCAACCTGCAGTATTACGCGTTTGCAAAGAATAGAGATACCTGTTGTTTTTGTTTTGTTTTGTTCTGTTTTTTAAAAAAGAAAAAAGCCAAAGATCGACTGGGTTAATTGGTAGGAGTAGGAAGGGTTGAAGATGTCACGTGGCTCTGTCTGTGGCTCTCCATAAACGACCTCTTGATCTGTGTGTTGTATCTGTGTGTCTCTGTTGGTGCATCTCCAGCTCGCCACTGCTGCTGCGTGGTCTGGAAGCTTCAAAGGGAGAGAAAATTGCTCGAGTTGAATTTCTGTTCATGAGTGGTGCCTTGCAGCAGAGAAAACACCAAAGTCTCATGCTCATTTGTAGTGGTTTCAGAAAAAAAACAACAAAAAAACAAAAACAAAAGCAAAGAAAAAAACCCAACCAAAACCCAAAAAGCAGATTGCGTGGAGGTGGCTGGAGAGGAGGGCAAGAGGAAACCAGCTCATCACAAAGCGGCAACTTTGCCTTCAGTTTTGTAAGGAGTAGCACATGTACTGAAAACACAGAATTTCCTCTTCAATACTTGTTTTGTTTAATGCCGTGGATCAAAAGGCCACAGATTCTTTTGTTTCCTGTCCTGAGCAATGACAAGCACTTTACTTTCATAGTATTTTTTTTTTCTTTTCCAATTGCTGTAGAACCTCTTTGGAATTATTGCTGGAGCAGAAAGAGGTCATTTTAAAAGTCTGGGTTTTTTTGTAGATATCCTGACAGTGCTGTTCTGCAGACTGCAATGCAATAGGGTATTTAAAGACACTATGTGATTGGTTTAATTAAGATGTATAGTTTATTTTTTATCATGACTGAACAATCATTTCTTATGTTAAAATGAGAGGTGTACACCAAAATGATTAGTCGATGTGTTTTATTTAATATTTAAATAAAAAATGTTTTAAAATTGTTGTCCTGCATATGATTCTGTGGAGTATTTTCACCTGATTTTATATATATGTGACTTGCATAGTTAAGACTAATTTTAAAGCCTAAGTCCATAGGACATTACTGACACTTTCTATTACACACTAAATGAAGAGGAATAGCGGGCTTACAAATCTGATAATGGGATATTGAGCCTTTCGCTGGTAGGCAATCTGTCTGAATCTAACCCGGGTCTGTAGTAATCAGGTTATAAAACCTGACAGCAAGAGAGGTCTTCGGAGTGAAAAGGGGCAAGCGTGGTTTAGTCGTCACCAGATGAGCTCTCCATCCGTGTCACCTTGGTCTGAAAGAGGGCCTGGCCAGATTAGGGCAGCAATGGAAAAACAGCAAAGGGGAAGAGAGAGGGAGGGCGAGGTTCCCGGGGCGATGGCTTTTCTCCTTTCAAATGCAATTTGAGAATTTAAAAAAACACTGGAAAGATACAGGCTCAGCTGAGCTGGGAATGTGTGTACAGCACTGCCTGCCTTGCAAAGCAGCTGTTGTGAGAGCCCCCAATGCAGACTGCGGCACTGAAGCCAGTGGAGATGGTATTTACCAAGCACAGGCTGGGGAGAGGATGGCCAAAATGAGGGGAAGGGGCCTGTGGGGCCATGCTGGGGGCAATGCAGGAGGAGACGCTGGCCTGACAGGTGCTGCTTAGGCTGTGGAACCAGATCGTCGTCTCCCTCCCAGTTTTACTTTATGCGCTCTGTGTTTCCTGTGCACCTTTGAGAGATGGGCATAGTCTGCACAGCATGAACACAGGATGTGAGTGATAGAAGGGTCTGTGTTCTGCACATGCCATTAGAATGAGGGCGAGGAGGGGTTTCACCTGCAAAGGAACCCCTAAATTTTGGGTTGGCCAAGAAGTAATTGTGGTGGTGTTTTTTTTTAATAGAAGGACATACATGTCTTGAAATGTATCTAACTTCATTTTAAACCACGAATTCATTATGTAACTTGACAGCTGACAGTTTAAGCTTGTTTTAGAAAAAGGAAGTGTGCAATTTCATTAACAATTATTTACTTGGCGTTGATTTCAGAATGGAAAATCAAAATGAACATTTTTGTCATATTTTGCTGTATTACTTCCGAAAAGGAAAAACTGCTTTGCAAGCTCATAAAAAGTTATGTGATGTGTATGGTGAAGATGCCTTAAAACTACGGCGGTGTCAGAATCGCTTCACTAAATTTTGGTCCAGACATTTTGATGTTAAGGATGAACCACCCTCAGGAAGGCCAATCGAAGTTGATAACGACCAAATAAAGGCACTGATCAAATCCAGTTGGTGTTTAATGACATGTGAGATTGCTGATAATCTTAACATACCAAAATTGAGCATTGAAAACCATTTAAAACAACTTGGAGATGTTAGGAAGCTCGATATTTGGGTACCACATGAGCTCAAAGAAATTAATCTCACTAAGCACATTGACGTCTGTGATTCTCTCTTGAAACATGAAGAAAACGATCCATTTTTGAAACATGGTAACAGGTGATGAAGAATGGATCATCTACAACAACGACAAATGAAAAAGATCATGGAGTAAGTGTGATGACCCAGCTCAAAGCCATACAAAAGCAGACATTGACCAAAGGAAGGTGATGCTCTCAGTCTGGTGGGATTTCAAAGGCATTGTGTGTTTTGCATTGCTTCCAAGGAACCAGACCATTAATTTGGATGTGTACTGTCGACACTGGATAAGTTAAATGATGCCATCAAACAGAAGCATCCAGAATTGGTGAATCACAAAGGTGCTGTGTTTCTCCATGATAACACCAGACCACAGAAAAGTTTGGTCACTCACCAAAATTTGTTACAGCTTGGATGGGATGTGTTACCACATCCACCATATTCACCAGACCTGGCACATCTGACTGCCATTTGTTTTGTTCTTTACAGAAAGCCATGAGTGGTAAAACCTTCACTGCTGATGAGGATATCAAATCATTCTTGGAACTGTTTTTTGTCAAAAAAGACAAGAACTTTTTTGAGCGTGAAATCATGAAGTTGCTTGAAAGATGGCAAAAAGTAATTGAACAAAATGCACACTGTATTGTTTACTACAGTTTTTGTTTGCCTTGAAAAATATACCTTTCATTTACCCCGAAAAAATATGCAATTACTTTTTGGCCAACCCAATATTTGCAACCTCTAATTTAACCTGGTAAACACTCAGTGGGAAAAAAAACCAAACAAAACTATTCCCAAAGAACAATGGTGGGGTTTTTGGAAAAAAAAAATAGATCCACATTCTCAAGATTTTATTTTCAAATTTCCCAATCACATTTTGAAGGAATGGGAGGATGGTGGGAAGGTAAATCCAGAAAGCCAAACAAAAGCTTGGGGGCAACCAAGATAATACTCATTTTGATTTCTAAAGGAGTTGTTTGCTGTGCTGGAATTTGTAGAGCTCTGTATAGATTTGCCATAACTCTCGAACTGGTAGAAAAGTGTCATGTACATGTTTTTCTAGGGTTCTGTTTACAATGTGACCATGCAAAGTTAGAAATTTTGGAACTATTTAAAAATAATGACGGTATTCTTAATTATTTTTAATCTAGCTTTTAGTATGACCTGGTTTAAGAATAATCCCAACTGCCATGTTCAGCTGGGCTCTCAGGGCATTATTTTAAACCCCAGTAATTCTGGGAAATCTCAGAAAGTTGCCTCTTGATCAGTGCAGCTCCACCAACTTTCGTTGACATCACTGACCCTTGGGTATAGAGGGATCTTGACAACCTCGTGATTTCTGTGAAATGGTAGGAAAAACAAGAACAAAGAAGCCCTGGGACTCTGGACTCAGTTTGCATGTGTACACTGTTTCACTTTTGGTGCTTTAGTCACTGTCTTCCTGCCTTTCCTCTGAAATCTGTCTCCACTCCTGTTTACCACGTTTGTTTTTGTCTTTAATATCTCTCGAGATGCTGTTTTTCTTGGCTTCGTTTCTCACATTACAATTTGGTACCTAGTTCCTTTTCCTTTCTTTCCCAGCCCGGTATTGGTGTTTTTTTCCCCCCTTTCAGATGGAACAGATGCTGGCAAGTTTAGCCTAGCCTCAAAACTGAATAATCAAACCTTATATTTTTTTTTAATAAAGGAAGTGCTTAGAGCTGGCAGGAGATGCTAGACTGGTAGCAATGAAAAACACAGGCTGTTTTTGCACCGAGCAAGCTGAGCGCAGACACCAAGTCGAGCACTCTGGTGCCAGTGTGGCCCAGCCATGGTAGTAAGGGATTCTCCCCTCAATTTCTCCTCCTGCCCTCCAGCAGGAGACACAAAACTCATCCCCAGCCCTATGACCTGCTCCCTCGCGGTGTCCACAGTGGCAGTCACACTTCAGTGAGGAAAGGACTTCCTCGTGGTACAAGGCATCATCATGTAATCTTGGCCTGTGTCAGCTTGAAAGGAGAAGCGGCCCAAGGGAGGGCGGTTGAGCGGACAAAATTATGATGCATGAGATAGAAAGTGATCAGCGCTTCCGTTTTACTCATCCTGCAAAGTGAGAATAAGGCACGCTTCATGCAATGAAGGAGAATTAATTTAAGAACTAATAAAAAGAAATATGTGCCTCGGGAAGACATTGCTTCAAAGATGGTTGCTGG